TACTAGGCCAAATTTTCTGGACAAAAATACCCCTGCGGGGGCAGTGCGGTCCGCACAAAATCGAGTGCGGCCGTAGTGAGGCTTTTTTGTTTTAAACTCTGCTCTCTGAACTTATCCATCGCGGGCAGCATAAAATACACCGCGGCCGCGGTGGCTTCTGTTGCGGTCCGCACAAAAAGGATCGCGGACCGCATTGGCATTGATTCTCCAAAGTCCCAACTCTCTGAACTCCGTCTTTGCGGACCGCACAATATCGAGTGCGGCCGCGATGAGTCCATTGCGGTCCGCACAAATTGCTTTGCGGCCGCATTGCTTGAGTTTCTAAAATAGGCACCTCTCTGAACCTCCTCACTGCGGACCGCACTAAATGGAGTGCGACCGCAGTGGACCTGTTGCACTGTGCTTGGACTTGTTCTTGGTATTTGTGCATGTTTCACTCCTTTTTGAGCTTATTTTGACTAATTGTCAACTTCTTGACCAAACTCTGCAAACAAGTACAACATGTAAGCCTTTGAGACTATTTTGTACACATTTTTAATCAAAACTCAAGTAAGAAGGAGTGTAAAATACACCATAATCCCTAGTTATCAATAGTGTCGTGCCGCGACGTTAAATCAAGCGCTTGTTTGGAGGCAATCCAATTTTTTTTCTTTTATGTATTTTAATTTATTTTTGTTACAGTACTATTTTTGTGTTTTATAGGAGTAGGAGCATGGAGTCAAAGACAATAGGCATGTGCAAAAGCGTGCAGGTGGTTGAAACTAAGTGTGGGGTGCCCATACAAAGGACTATACCAGGGAGAAGTCTGAGTATCCCGTGAGCTGCTAATACTTCGGTCATTAGCCTACCAGGGAGTTTCTCTTGTTATTTTCAGTGTGCACTGAGGACATTGCACAATTTTAAGTGCGGGGTGAGGAGATTGTCTGGGTGGTTTCTATGCTATCCTATATTTGTTGTAGTGCTTTTTCTTAGTGTAATTATTTGTGTTAAAAAAATGAAAAAAAAATCAGAAAATTGGGACTTTCCTGATGATGGATTTTGTGGACAGCTTTCTTGAGGGATTAAGGTCCAATAAAAAATAATAATAAATATTTTATTTTTGTTTCTAGTTAGTTTTAGCTAGATAATAATCCCTCTTGGTTTTTCTTTGTGCACGGTTCTTTTCCAGGGGATGTAACTTGAACCGGGTAAGTTTTTTATTTTTAGAATTAGATTTTTTTAGGAGTAGAAAAGAGGAGAAGAAAAACTTTTGTTACTTATTTGATACTAGCAATTTTAGCCCTGAGATTGAGTAGTACTTTCCTCTGAGTGCTTGAGTAATGAATAAAATAGCAAACTTTCTGACACTTAAGCTCATGGTTGTGACTCTGTATATAGCTTATTCTTATTTGTCGTTCACTATGACCCTGTCTGTCTTAGAGTAGAATTGATCCATCTTGCTTGATTCTTGTGCAATGTGGGGTGAGGATTTCTTACATATATTTCATGTTTTGCATCTTAGTCTAGAACTTTCCCTGCATGTTATTGAAGTGAAATAAAAAGTGTTGCTTTGTTAGAAGATGATAATAGGCTTTCTTTGATATGTCTTGTAAATTTTAGCCTTTTCAGATCTTGTACCACTAGATAACCCTTTGAGCTTGTAGCCTTTTATTTGGAAGCCGTATTTTTGCCTTGATCCTTTTGTTGAATCCCTAGTTTTTGCACCTTACTTCCTTGAGCACTGTTGCTTAGACTGTGATATTAATTGATAAATTTGAAGAATGGGATGGTTAAGTGAAAAATGGTAACCAATGATGGCTGAAAAGTGATGAAAATGACTTCTTGAAAAGAATGTTATGAAAAAAAAGGAATGAAATAAATAGCATTGAAAAAAAAAGTTAAACGTTCTTGATAAGAGGGAAATACTTGTGAAACAATAGATGAAGAGAGGGCTGAAAAATAAATTGAAGAGATGAAAATAATGGGTGATGAAGTCTAAAAGTGCAAAGTGCTTAGGGAAGTGTAAGTCACTATTATATAATTCTCCTACTCGTCCCCTAGCCAACATTACAACCCGTTAAAGTCCTATTTGATTCTATTCAAGCATGCTTAATTATTAGAGATGTACATAATGGGCAAGCTTATGGTTCTTTGTGCATACATGTGAATTCATTTGTGAGTGCGAGAGTTGTTCTTTAATGCAAAGTCCTTAAATTATATTCATTCTTTGATTTGAGTGTATGGACTATTTATTCTAGTGAGGGCACTTGTTTCATGATAGATAGGTGATGTTATTAGCTTCTTTGACAGAGTAGGTGAGCGAGCTTTAATTTGGTAAGTTAGAGTCCGTCCCTAAGGTTAGGAGGTTAGAAGTTTGTTGTTTGTTTGTGACTTATATATCTTGCATGATGATGATGAAGTGTATATCTAATAGTTTGAGTTGCTATAGGGCCTAATGGTTAGTATCTACTAAAGTGGCGGTGTTTCTATGCTTGATTTATTGAGAGTGGTTTTAATGCTTACTCGAGGACGAGCAAGAGTCTAAGTGTGGGGTGTTGATGTTCGGCCAAAAATGCATATATTTACCCATTGTTACCTCACATTCTAGTATTCTTAATCGTCTTTGAGTGTTAATTATATTACTTTGTGCTTAGTATTATACTTTAACTATGTAGGAATAAAGTGGTGTGAAGATGAAGAGATTTGGAGTAAAATTGAATAAAACGCGAAAAAAAGGAAATTAAATAAATATAATAAGGGGGGACACCCTTTGATCTTTGTCCCCCAAGTGGAGACAAAACAAGAAAGCTTATAATGCAATTGCAATTCAATACGCAACTGACGAAGTAACGCCTAAGGAATTTGAATGTGAAAACTTTCTGCTTTCAGCGCCAGGTCCAGCGCTGGGCGCTGGCCTGGACGCTGGGTGTGGGGGTTTTCCTACTTCCTTCGGGAAAGGTTATTTCTGCCTTACATGATCCCAACTCGTATAAAAGGAGTCCAGAACTTAATTTGGAGAGATCTAACATACTTGAAAGGAGAATTTACATGGAGGAACACACCACGCTTGTAGGAGGCTTCTAACTAATTTCTCTTCTCTTTCTTTAATTTCATAGTTTATTTGTTCTAGAGTTTTGGGTGCTACATGAACGTTGTAGTTTGAAGCTTGAATTGTTCTTATTGTTTTATCATATTAGTTTATTTATTCAATCTTGTGCTTAATTATTTGATTGCTTGATCACCAATTGAATACTATCTACGAATTAACTCGGAAGAGGGAATTCTAGATTGCATATGAGATTGAGTAGAGAAAGATCTTAATTTTGGAGGGGGGAGGGGGGGCGATTTGCGGTTAGGAAAGGAATATACCTAATCGTCTTGCTTGGTTATTATACGGGAATTATAAATGCGTTCTTGCTAATTCTAATTTCATAGGAATATAGGCGTTAGATTAGCTTGAATAGGCGAGTTGTACTTTTGGAGAAGGCTATGAGCAATATTAACCCTGTCAACCAATAAACCATATAAATTAAATAGACGATTTAAGTGAAAAACTCAACGGGATTGTTAACTAACTTATAGCTCTAGAATATTCACTCACATTGAATTCGTCTCTATAATTCGCCAACTTATTTACTTTAATCTCTTAGTTTGTTACTTTAGTTTAATTTTAGCAAAATATTCATACTTTAGAATTTGCTTGAATAGATTATTTGTTTGGTTTAATTTAGTTGATAGTTAATCACAAGTCCCTGTGGGTAGGATATCTGAACCTACAATCCTGTATTACTTGTCGACTGCGTATACTTGCATGTGCGTTTGGCCGCAACAATTCTCCACGAGATGCTCTATAAAAATAAAGTTGCGAACTTAATCATGGAGGTGAATTACTGTTTTTTTTTTCAGAAGGAAAAATATATATGTCATTTTATTGTGGCAAGTTTGCAAACTAACTACCACCCAAGGGTGTTGTTTAGCAATCAATAGAGTTGGAAAAAAGAGTACTACTATAGGAGACCTGATTGAATCTCAGTATAGACAAAAACTAGTTAGGTGGCCTTATTTCCAAATATCTAAAGTTTTGTAGGTAGAGATTTATCTAATAGCTATACTATTGGAAGGATACACATACTTGGAAAATAGTTGAGCGTACGCAGTTGGTCTTGACATTATTAATATCCAAAAAAAGAAAAAAGAAAAAAAAGGTTTCCAACTTGACTATCTCAAATGCTTAGTATCACACGCAAATGAAAGCGGATAAAGTAACAATCACTATTAGTTACCACCCCATAAGTAAAATGTGATACATGAATATTAAGATAATGAGGGTAGTTTTGTCATTTTCCATGTAATTAGTTAGTGGATCTATGTAGCTGGATAGGACACGAATTTTATACCTAACTCTGATTTTTTGTTAATTAGATAACTATTCTTTTTCTCTACCTCTTCTCTTTAAGATCTTCTCTGAACTTCATTTCTAAACTCTATGTCACGAATTGGAGCACAATGTCAACTTTATCAGAACAAAAAGAGATTGAAGAAAGAATATGAACAGAAGAAGACTTGAAGTGAAAACTAACTGATTCTCATTTCTTTTGCAAACATTAGTACTGTACAGAGTGAAGTATATATACAGTATCTTTAACTAACACCTCTAACTAACTTGCTTTACATAAATAGTCATAGCCACTTCATTAACTAACTAGCCAGATGTCACATATACAAATACAACCAGCTTACACTTCCAATACTCTCCCTTAAACTGATGTTATGAATATATTCTTGACTCCAAGTTGATTCAACAGAACTTCATGTTGTGCTTTTCCAAGGCTTTTAGTCAGTTGGTCTGCCAGTTGATCCTTTGTTAAGAGATGATGAGTTTTGATTACTCCTTGACTTAGTTTTTCCCTTATAAAATGATAGTCAATGTCTATATGTTTGGTCCTTTCATGGAATATTGGATTTGCTGCTATTTGAATGGCAGCTTTGCTGTCACAGAATAGATCAACATGTTGTTGCACTTAAATTCCTAGTTCCTTGAACAGCCCTGTTAACCAAGTAACTTCAGCTACACATGATACCATACTTCTAAATTCAGCTTCAGCTGAACTTCTAGCTACAGTTTCCTGCTTCTTGAATTTCCAAGACACCAAAGCCTCTCCAAACTTCACTAGGCAGCCAGTGACAGATCTTCTGGTCTGTAGACATGAACCCCAATCAGAGTTACAGAAGGCTTGTAGCTGTCTAGTTTCAGTTGATGGCATTAAAAGTTCCAGGCCTGGTGATGCTTCCAGATATCTAACAATCCTTAGAGCAGCCTCCATGTGGGATTGTTTTGGAGCATGCATATACTGACTTAGCACATGTACTCCAAATGAGATATCTGGCCTAATCATGGTCAGATATAGAAGTCTCCCTACCAGTCTTTGATACTCTCTAGCATCTTCTAGTATTGGATCTTCATGAGCTGCATCTTTGTGGAATGCTCTATCAAACTCTATTGAAGTAAGTTTCTGATTACATTCAAGTGGAGTTCTAGCTGTTTTAGCTCCTCCTAGGACAAGCTCAGAAATTAGCTCCAAGGAATACTTTCTTTGACACATATGTATACCCTTGCTTGATTTGAAAAATCCAATGCCTAAGAAGAACTTCAATTCACCCACGTCTTTCATTATAAACCTTTTTTGAAGATACATATCATTTTAATTTCCTGCGATGATCAGATCATCTACATATATAAGAATTACAACTATGTCACTTCCTTGATACTGTGTGAAGAGTGAGTAGTCAAAATGACTCTGGACAAAGACAAGTTGCTACAAAGCTTTAGTAAGCTTGAGATTCTACTGTCTTGGTGCTTGTTTCAGGCCATACAGTGATTTCTAGAGTTTGCAGACTTGATTAGTCTCCCAATGTCTAGCAAACTCTTCTGGAATAGTCATATAAATCTCCGCTAAAAGATCTCCTTGAAAGAAGGCATTGTGAACATCAATTTGATATATGAACCAATGCCTTGAGGCTGCCACAACTATCACTGGTCTAACAGTAACCATTTTGGCAACTTATGAAAAAGTTTCTTTGTAGTCCAAACCAGCTTGTTGACTGTAACCCTTGGCTACTAGTCGTGCCTTGTACCTTTCCACTTCTCCTGATGACTTATACTTGACTTTGAACACCCATTTGCGCCCAATAGCTGCTTTACCTTTAAGGAGATCAACAACTGTCCAAGTGTTGTTGTCTTCTAGTTCTGCAATCTCTAGTTTCATGGCTTCAATCCACTTTGGATTTGTGGCTGATTCCCTATAACTAGTAGGCTCTACAATAGATGAGTAGGAGTTTAAGGCAGTCTTATATGGTGAGGCTAGATGATCATAGTAGATGTAAGAAGAGAGATGATAGGCATAGTTGAATATTTTTGTGGTGATAAAGTCTTGCATCCACAGAGGTTGCTTGACAGTTCTAGTAGATTTTCTGAGTGGTTCAGACTGAGAAAAAGGTTCAGTAGAAGGAGGTAAACTGGTGGTAGGTTCTTCTAGGATGGTATTGATAGGTGAATGGGTTATATTAATAGAAGGTGGTGAAGTCAAGTGATTTTTTGTGATCAATTCCTCTTGTATGGTTTGGGAGGTTGTTGTGCTATTGGGAGAGGTATTGAGACTATTCTTTGAAGCGTCAATGTCAGGAATAGGCTCTAGCACTAGAAATAAGGGTAGAGTAGAAGGAGTAAAGTGTTTAAAAGGAAAGAAATCTTCTCTGAACACCACATTTCTACTTAAAAAGAATGATCTACCATGTAGATAATAAAGTTTGTATCCTTTTTTAGTAGAGGAATACCCCATTAAGGCAGCAGGAATGGCTCTAGATGAAATCTTATCAGTGATATTGGGGTTTGATGCATAGGCAAGACAACCAAAGGTTTTTATATGATCAAGGTTAGGAGGGTGTGAGTGCAGCATTTGAAAAGAAGATTTATAATGTAGGGTGGCAGAAGGTAACCTGTTAAACATATAAACAACAATATCAACAAACTCTCCCCAAAACTTCAGAGGCATAACTCCTTGAAACCTTAAGGATCTGGCTACATTTAGAATAGATCTGTGTTTCCTCTCTACTATACCATTTTGTTGAGGTATATAAACACAAGAGCTTTGTTGCACAGTGCCATTTTCTTTGATCAACTCATCAAACCGAGAACTAAAAAACTCATAGCCATTGTCTGTTATTAATGTTTGAACATTAGAATTGTACATATTCTTCACTAAAGCTAAAAACTGCTTCACAATGACAAAATCAGCTTTATTGTTCAACAAAAAAGATCCAAGTATACTTAGAAAAATCATCCAGCAATGTTAGAAAATATCTATTCCCATCATGTGTAGGTACTCTATAAGGACCCCATACATCCCCATGCACAAGCTGGAAAGGCTTATTTGAACTAGTAGTGCTAATAGGAAATGAAAGTTAGGATTGTTTCCCTAGTGGACATACTGGACAGTGATGATTTTTGTCTAGTTTGCAATGTTTCAAAAACTCTATTTTTCTGAGAATATCTAAAGGAGCATGGCCTAGTATATTATGTCATATAGACAGTGGTACATTAGTAGACACAGAGTAACACTTTTGTTTACTGTCAAACTCTTGTAGTTGTAGTTGAATAAGTGGTGTTGTAGGAGTTGGAGATTACTTCAGATAGTACAGTCCGCAATCTTCTCTACTAATCCCCCTCACCTACCCACTGAAGAGGTCCTACAATAGGCAAAAATCAAGAAAGAATGCCTCACAACACTTTAGTTCCTTTGTCAACTTTGACATAGACAAAAGGTTAAACTTGAAGTCATGAATGTGTAACACATTTTATATATCCTGATTTCTGAGTATACTAGATGTTCCTGTAGTTGATATTGACACCACATTCCCATTTGGAAGATGCACATTTCCACCTTTCAAACTAGACTCCTTGTTTAATTTAGTCAACAACATTGAATTTTCTACTATATGGTTAGTAGCTCCAGTATTAATTATCCACCTATCATCGACTATACTGGATAGGAAAGCAAATATACCTGCTGCTGTTGGTTAAGCAGAGCTTGTTGATTCTTCATTTACTTTACCAAGCATATGTAGGATTTGTTGATACTGTTCTGGAGTAAAATATGGTGCTGAGGGAGGTGAAGTTGCTGGATGAGGCTGAGGTTGACTCCTCTCCCCATGGTTTCCTCCACTGTTATTACTTGGAAAGTTAGTTGCTGAAAATAAATCATGACTTCCATTAGTAGGCATTAGTGTTCCTGAATCACAAGTGTTTCCTACAAAGTTAGCTATAGGGAATGTATTTCCTTTCTTCTTATGCTTAAAATCGGCAGGGTAACCAACTAATTTGAAACAATTCTCTCTGGTATGCTCCTTGTAGTTGCAGTAGTCACAAAATAGGTTAAAATTTTTCTTTGCACTTTTATCAATTCCACCTCTAGCAGACACAAAAGCAGTGAGGTCAGAATTCTCTACAGTAACACTTGTGTGTGCAATTTCTCTCTTGCTTTCCCTCTCCATCATCATAGAGTAGGCCTTGTTAATAGAGGGAGCTGGTATCATCATGAGCAATTGGCTTCTAGCTTGCTCATGAGACTCATTTAGCCCCATAAGGAACCGTAGGAGTTTCAGCCTTTCCATAAACACAACAAATTCACGCGATTTCTCTTAGTCACATCCAGGAATTGGGGCTAGACTATCAAACTCTGCCCACAGTTGTCTCAATTTTGAGAAATAAGAAGAGATCGAGCTAGTACCTTGATTAATTGTGGCAATGTTCTTATGGATCTAGAAAATTCTAGAGAGATCAGCTTTATCAAAACTCTCTTTTAGTTAATTCCACATAGCACTCGCATTTGAGGAGTAAACAATTCCACTAAGCAATTCAGGCGATACACAATTCATTATCCATGACAGCACTATGGCATTGCATCTGTCCCATAGATCTACCAGATTTGGACCAAACTTTCCTCGCCTACAGGTACCGTCGATGAACCCTAACTTGTTCCGACCTAAAATAGCAATTCTCATTGCCTGACTCCACTCCGAGTAGTTTTCTGGACCTCGCAGTAGCACCGAGATCAGGATTACACTGAAATTGTCATTTGAGTTCAAAAACAGGGGATGATTGTGACTTAGTTTCTCAGGAGCTTCATTATCAACTTCTGCCATTGTTGAGCTTCCAATATAGAGGCAGAGCTTGTGTAATTGAAGCAATTGAGCTTGAATTCAACAGTCACACCGATTTGCAATCTAGATTCGAGCAGTAGGCTCTGATACCATGACAACTTTATCAGAGTAAAGAGAGATTAAAGAGAGAATATGAATAGAAGATGACTTGGAGAGAAAACTAACTGATTCTCATTTCTTTTGCAAACGTTAGTACTGTATATAGTGAAGTATATATACAGTATCCTTAACTAACACCTCTAACTAACTTGCTTTACATAAATAGCCATAGCTACTTCATTAACTAACTAGCCAGCTGTCACATATACAAATACAATCAGCTTACACTTCCAACACACAATCTGCTCAATTCTTCGTGGTATAAGAGCGGCGACCAAGGGACTAGGTGAGATTCCTTGAAATTTCATTATAAATTATGGCTGAAGAAGATAGATTAAGGTTCATCACCATGGGAGATGAAGAACTCAAAATTGAGCACAAACCATCCACTTTATCTGCAACTTTCTGACACTCCTAGTATGACTCTAATAGATTTTAAGCTCACAATACCTTAAAATTATGGATTGTGGAGAAGATCATGTGTATGGAATTGCTATCAAAGAATAAGCTCAAATTCATCAAAAGAACTTGTGTGAAAAGCTTGTATAAAGGAGCACTAGTAGAGCAATGGTGTAACGATTTGGCCAGTGAATTTGACTATTTTAAACCTGTCTTCCCTACTTGATGCTTTAAATATATGTATTTGTGGTTATGTGAGACTTTTTAGGGTGGTTGGTTCGATTTCGGGGATGTTTTGAATTGAGTTGGGATACTTAGTCCCTTGATTGGAGGCTTAAGTTTTGAAGGATTGATCAGAGTTTAACTTTTGTGTAGACGGCCCTATAATGGTGTTGTGGTGGTTCCAATAGGTTCTTATGGTGATTTTGGACTAAGGCATATGTCCAGATTTGGATTTGGAGGTTCCTAGATTGTTTTGATTTGAATTGGCAAAAGTTTGAAAATTAAAGGTTTGGAAGGTTGGTAGGTTTGATCGAGAGTTGACTTTGATGGTATCAGGTTTAGATTTTGGTTCCGGGAGTTGAAATAGGTCTATTGTGTCATTTCGGACTTGTATGAAAAATTTGAGGTCATTTCGAGTTGTTTAGGCATGTTCTGTGTAAGTTTCGAACATGGAAATTTGGATTAGTTCCTTAGGCTAGAATTAAGGTGAGATTCGTGGTTTGATATTGTTTTGTGTTATTTGAGACTTCGAGTAGGTCTGTATTATATGTTGGGATTGATTGGCATGTTTGGACGGGGTCCGAGGGGCCCCGGGTGTGTTTCAGATTGATTTCAGATACCTTTTTATGGAATTGGCATTGCTAAAGAATTTCTGAGTTTTGGTGCTTTCACATCTGCAGAGATTTGGCCGTAGATACGGCCTTGGTTGAGCAGGTGCAAGGCTAGCCTGGAA